CACGGAGCCCGGGCTGCTCACAGCAGGCAGTGGAGGGGCTGTAAGCCACTGCAGCAAGGTTTGCCTAGCCCCTGCCTGGCTTGTTGGGTGCCTCCAGACAGATAGTGAAGAAACTGCGAGAGGTCCAATCCTTGTTGTAATAGTGCAGCCCTGGCCCCTTCCCCACCGTCTGCCATGAGGCATGCATGCCAAGCAAAATGCCTTCATCTGCCACACTCTGACTCACATGCTGGGGGTTGCCAACCCCTGCTCTACACTATCCAAGCACAGCAAGAGGGGCTTTTTTAGATCTTAGGCAATTGGATTTGAAAACTAAAGCATTGATTTTGCAGTGTTTACTTTACATGTTTGCTTTGCTTTTTAAAATCGTGTTGTCTGACTTGTCATTTACTAGCTGGCTTGCATGAATTATGTGAAATTTCCTTTGCACTTTGTTTTTATAAGGTATTAATTTCATTATCTTTCTGTTCATTTTTTTCAATGAAATGATTTATGCCAGTAGAAATTTTATTTTACTGACAAAACTAAATGGTTATTAACTGGCTCTAATATTAGATCCACTATATGTTTTTAAAATTAACTGGCTATATCAAAAGTCAGTTCTTTTGTTTTCTAACTATGCATGTCTGGGTGCTGTTTTGGAAAGTGGAAGGAGGAACAAAGGAGGGGAACCAGGTGCAGGGATGGGTTATCGTATTCTATCAAGAATGTTTAACAAAATATTTATTAATACACATACCTGATGTTCCTTTTTCTTCCTCTCTGAATTCCTCTGGATTTTATCTATCAGTGCATCAGAGAGCTCGTAGGTCTTGATAAGGCCTAATCCCTCTTGCCTCTGAACTAGCATATTGTTACTGGCCATTGGTGAGTTGAGGTACCTTTGCCCAAGTCTTGCAAAATAGCAAGTGTCTGCTGTCATTTTCAGGGTGGTACAGGGGTCCCCACCAGCTTTGGCATGGAGTTGCATGTAGTAGCAGAGATATGAGGGGATGTCACTTATTTTCTCTTGGGCCTTCATTCTCATCCATCATTACTACTTTCCCCTGTTGTATACAAGTTCTTCCAGCCCCTGTGCAGCATTCAAATAGACATGCTTTATTCTTGCTTTGATTTCACATTTGGGCTTGCACTGTTCTTTGTCCCTCAGCAGCATGAGGTTTAACTGGAGTGCTACTCTGATGCTATGCTTTAGTTTTCTCTGTTCATAGAGGTCTGTTAAAAAAAAAAAAAAGACATGAACTAACAGGAAGAGACAGATTTCCAGGATTTTTAAAAGGAGTGGAGGAAGTCATCTGTTTACTGTGACATCATGCAGTGAAGTTTAAAACTGTGACAGAAACAGGCATTGTCACAGAACTTGGGGATGGTTGGAGGAGTCATGGGTGCAGCCATTCTGACAGAAGGCAGCGTTGAACTGTCAGATCTTAGCAACACAGCGCGGGCCTTAGACAGCATGGGGGTCCTGTCTAAGTTAGAGTAGTCTCCTCCTGTCTGCGTCTTAACCACAGAGCTTCCTGGAATCCCCATGTTGCTGTTTTGCTCTTCACAAGCTGCCATTTCAGCAGTTCCCACATACTAGTCTTTTTTAGGCTGCACGAAGCTTCAGTCCCTGATTCGATGCGGCGGAGATTCAGCCCGATTCGGTGGCCGAATCTCTGAATCCAAATCGAATAAAAGGACCCTTTAATCTCTCCGAATTGAATCGGAACCCTCCGAATCACTTCGGAAAGATTTGGAGATTCGGACACAGAGACAGCTTTAAATGTTTTTTCTACATACCTTGAGGTAACAGGGGCTCATTAGTGCTGCGATGCTGGGGCACATGGAGTGTCCCACAGAAGCATAGGGGGCTTCCCAGTGGGCTCAGCAGATGACCCAGAAGTGGACCAGAAGTGGCTGCCGCCTCCTCCCCCGGCTGGGTGACTGGTGCCTCCTGGGTCTGGGGGGTGCATCTGGGGTCCCTCTGCGACTGATCACCGAGCTGGGAAGGCGCAGGGGCCCACCACCAGCATGCTCCCCAGCAGACCCAGAAGTACTTCTGGTCCACTTCCTGATTTGCCGCACTCCTGTGGGACGCCCCATGTGCCCCAGCAGTGCAGCATTCACAAGCTGTGCCTGCTACCTCAAGGTATGTAGAAAAACCTTTTAAAGCTGTGTCGATGTACAAATCACTGATTCTCTGAATCAGCATCAAATCCTCAGATTCAGATTTGACCAAATCGAATCAGGGACAGTGATCCAAATCAGTGAACCGAATCACCGTCCCTGATTCGGGCCAAATCCGAATGCAAATCAAATAGGGCCCACTTCGCACACCCCTAGTATTTTTGGTTGTGTTCCACAATTCTTGCACCAAGAAAGTCCTTCCCTAGCCAAAGACTGAGGTCCCTGGCAGACGTTGCAATTAAGACATGATTAACCTGTTAATTACTACTTAAATAATAACCAGGCTACACATTCAGGCAGGTAATGGGAAATCAGCGCAAAAGTGTTCCACAAAATCGCAGTATTTTTGCAGCCTTGTTTCCATCGTGCCTTAAATTGAACATGTGGCGGGGTCCCTACCATGCAGCCTGATGCTGGCTGCATGGCAGGGCTTGGTTGACAGGTTCCCTGTGTCAGTGGGCTGACGGCCCCATGTTGTAGCCGTTTTCTCAGGGTGCCGATTTGAGGGGAGCACTTCAGTTGGGCTGGAATGCTGTGTTGCAGAAAGCCACAGAGCTTGCCACAATCAGCCAAGTTTACTACCTTTCCCCACAGCTCCCAAGGAGCTGTGGAGCAAAGTACTTGGACACATTCTGGCTCTGAGGATCCTGGGATTGGGAAGGAGTTCCTGGATCCCAGGGTCCCTATAAGCCAGAACCTTTAAAAAATACATGGACCACACTAGAATCTCAAACCAGCTCTGGTGTGGTCCCTGGGCTGAGATTGACAATCAGCTGATTATTGTTTCCAGCCCTAGAATGTGCTAGTTCACACCAGGTTGTGGGCACCTGGCTTTCAACTTGCTGGTACAGGAAGAGCCCAGGATCATGAACCCAGACTTCCCCCTGCACTGACCAGTAGTAGTGGCACAGTTGGGATCTAATCCCCAATCCCAGATCACATGTCGTCCCATGCACATGTGGTATGGCTGGGGGGGTGCTTGTTGTGCTGGGGAAACAGATTTCATCACATCACTAAATGAATGTTTGCCAGGCACCTGATTTTTAGGGTCCCTTTATACCACTTTGGTCCTTTTTACCAGGTGTAAGGAATCTAGAATTGGGATGAAGGTCCTCGTGTTAGATAAGTAATTTTCACTGTGTTAAGTGGTACAACTAATACTGCATTATTACTGTGCTGTTATTAAATAAACAGGGGAACATTTTTAAAGGACTATCCAGGTATTTGTAGCAACTGATTGAATTTTATTTATAAAAATGATACATAAAGCAGCTGTCACAGTATACAACCAGAGATTGCAATTGCTGTCATGCCTCATTTTTGTGTATCCTGTCCTTCAGCCCTGTCAAGTCCTTTCTTTTCCTTTCCAAATAATTATTAATGAGTGATGTGATTTTTATATGCCTGGGTTACTTAGGAAATCAGTGTTCTGGGAAAGATGGACAACACCCATGTACTTCAAAGCTTGCATATTCCTCCTTTCCCGCATGTATTTAAACAGCTGCCCCTAGGACCCATTAATTTGGCTGCCTTATATAGTATTTTCTGTTGACTGAGTGGCCATAGATTAATCTTTCTATGAGGTTACTGTGCCTTATGTCTTCAGTCTACACAGTGGCTTTGTGTTAAAGGTGCAAAGGAGGAAAAGATGTTCTAAGTGTCTGCTGGTTTCCTCTGACCCATTAATGTAAATTGTTTAAAGTGTTTAAAGAGCTTTGAGTTTGTGTTCTTGCATTTGTAAGCATTATGCCTAGACCACATTATTTCAGTGGTCTGGGTCTACTTTGCACGTTGTTAGTACTTTCATTTTACTTTTGATGTGAACTTCTGAGTGAATAGTGCCATGAGTGGCAATCTACTTTCATCAGTTTCAGCAGAGCATTTGATGAAAAAATAATCTAAGAGCCTTTGATGTGATAAACACAATATGCTTACTAGATATGTAGATATTATCCTTGTACTTCAAGCCATCCAGAAAGTTGTTGTCTTAATCTTGAAAACTTGAGGCATTTTTGTGTATTTAATTATTTCAGCGTGTAAAAGATGTTGTTCCATCTACAAGGGTATAAAATAACTAATAGCTCACACTTGTCCTAATAATAAATACATGTTTCCACCATCAGCCAGTTTTCAGCCAGTTTTCTTCCCCAAATGTATGGAAGAAAATAACGAACTCTGCAAGATGCCTAGAACTTTAACAGATGTGAAGATCTGGGTGACAGAGTAGGGGAAGGGACTTCCAAAATTGAGAAACACTTTTTGAGAGGCCCTCTTCCTCCTCTAGAGCAGGGAAAGCTCAAATTGAGGATCTTCACTGATTTTACTTGTATTCCCATATTCATAAGAAGGGCAGTTCTACAGGTAATGAGGCTGCAAACCATTTGGTGCTTTAGAGGTTTAAACTACCATTTTGAATTCTTCCCACTATCTCCAATGCAACTGCTACTATGGGGTGACTTGGACAATACTGCTTATCGAGCACTATTAAAGAGAGAAGACTTTTTGTCTTTTACAGTTAATAATTGAGGGAGGGCTAACATAAACAGGGCAGTCTTAGTGTTGAGTAATTTTAAAACATTGGTTAACTGTTTAAAGGTAATAACCCAGAAATGCTTACAGAAAAAAATGGATGAAGTGTTTACAAAACAATTAACCTTTATGAGTTCTAAAGAAAAACAAATCAAGCAGCTATAGATGATAAACACTGAGATTCAGCAGTCTTAGCAGTCTCCCCTCCTGGTTTTCAGCAGCAACTCCTGCAATGAGAACACTATTGTAGGAAAAATATGTGTGTTCAATTTACAAGATAGAATTTTTTGTGTTATTAACAGGTTTGGCAAACATCGCAAAGATGACAAGATTGAGAAAACTGGTAAAATAAAAGTGCAGGAAGCCCTTACTTCAGAAGAGGAGAGAATACGAATGAAGCAAGAACAGGAGAGGTAGACTTCAGTATTTGCTTAAACCTTGATGGAGAGAGTTTTCTTTTTTGGTTGTTTTTAAACAAAAGAATTTCCCTTCCCCTGCCATACAGTTTTATTGATGAAATTGCCCAAATATTGGATATGTTTATATGGTTAACATCATAGGAAGAAATAAGAGGAAACTGGAAACATAGGAAGCCACACTTTTTCCCTGGCTATGCCCAATATGTTTTACAAAATCAGGAGTGGCTGGATAATTATTTCTTACCTAAGGCACATGAAATGATAAATTTCATTGTTTGTGCAAGACATACAATAATTGCTTTTATAGACATTTTCAGAGAACAAATATTCGTATAAATTTGAAATACATTTTGTATCTTTCCCTCAGTCATTTCTTATCTAGTTTATTGTTAGTTGCTATTATGCTGTTCTGAAACAGGAATTTTAAATTTGATTATTCCAAATAAATTTGTCACTGGCGTTCAGTCTGTTTTTGTTGTCCTAGATTGATGTGTACATTAAACTGTTAATCATTGTTAAAAAAAAAAAAAAGGTGATGAATACCTCTGTTTTTGCTGTCCACTCCTCTTCCCTTGATGTTACAAGCCTGCATTTAATTTGTGTTTCGTGCTCTTCAGTATTTTGGGCAAGTTAATATTTTCCATCTAGATTTCACCCTGCTGGTTGCAGTCCCAGTGACTCTGGGCCTAGGCTGTCTGATCTCTTAATTATTTTATTTAAGATCAAATCCAGAGAGATTAGGAAATGACTTGCTCACTCTATAAGTAGCTCCATGGAAGAAGATTTCTGAGACTAGAAAGTTGTTCAGTCTAATAGATACAAGCAGAGCAAGATGTATTGGCTCAAAGTTGGCACTAGACAAATTCAGACAGTTTTACCAGTGAGGGTAATTAACCGCTGAAACAATTTGCATAGGAATGGAGTGAGGGTTGTCTGTGCTTTTAAAAGAGATGATACAGCTAAACCACAATTGAAGGCATGATGTATGATAGGAAACATTGGGAGAAATTTTATGGCCAGCATTTTGGCCAAAATCAAAATGGATCAAAATAGCTTATAATAATTGTCTCTCTGGCATTGAAGTCTTTGAATTCTATATTTGGTCTTTGGTTTGCAAAAGGTATATTGGACTGGTTTGTGGGCAGAGTTTTAAGTGTTAAATTATCCCTGGTTTCCCATTTCTAGTAGAGGTAGCCTGAGTCATGGCTTTCAATTTTTCTTTACCCATGGCTGGTCTATTTAACATCTTTTTAGTGACAAAATTAAAAAGCAGAACATTAAGCACCTTCTTGAGTTTTTAACTGTTCCTTTTTTTTCTTTTCTTTTCTGGAGGTGGGGTGGGAGAGGGAGTGGGCTTTAAATGATTAGTCTTGTATATGAAATAGTAAAGGGAATTTTTGAACTAGAGGAAGGGTGTGACGAAGTATACATGTATATATATGTTTGTATTTGCGTATATGTGTATTTATGAACAAAACTGAATGTTGAAATCTCTGCATAATGCCCACAATTTATTTTTTGTATGCGAAAAATGTGCACTCTCTCTAGCTAATATTGGTAGGGCTGTAGAATCAGCATGTTATGAGAAGATGGATCATGCCAGATTGGATGCTCTTGTATCACTGTACAATTATTTACCATATTTACATACATACCACACTTAGTTTTCCTCCCAAAATTAACCTTCCAAAATTCAGGTGCATGTCTTACATAGGGAAGCTGATTTTCTGCCCAAAGTAGAAGCATGGATATGGCTGTTGCTTCTTTTCTGTCTCTTCCATTTAGCAGCTGCATGGGGAAAGAGGCAGGGTCTACCATGGACAGATCCAAGGGAGGTGCACTATTGTGGTCCCATCCTACTTTAATTCCTGCTCCATCCAAACTTTAAAACCAACTGCCCTGCAGCAACAGTGGAATTTCTATGCAGGCACCTCTGATAGAATAATTTGAGTTTGTGACTTATTACAGTCTACCAGATTCCTGAAAATTGCTCTTCACTTCACTTGTGTTAATGACCCCCTCTCCTTTTTTAATGGTCCTGAAGTTCCACTAATCAAGCTATTCTGTCTTTGGGAATTTTGCTGTTAGCTGGTCTCTCTCCTGTTTCACAGCCCTGCAGACTGTTTTTAAGTCTTTTCAAAATCCTACACCTGGTCATGGAGTCCAGTCATTAGCAGCAGCTACACTTTCAGCTTTTGGCTGAATAGCCAAGAGCTGCTGACAGTTCAGTTATGAAAAGGTAAAACTGTAGCTTTTGCCTGAAGAGAAAAAGGACGAGGAGTGAGCTGAAGATTCTGTTTGTTTCCTGCTCTGTGCTGCCATAACACAGCAAAAGTCTTTTTTCTTCATTCTGCCTTCTCAAAAGCAAGATGCATGTCTTATTTGAGAGCATGTGGTATGCAGTACAATTCAGTGTATGTAGTCCTGATGTGAGGAACATTCTTCGTCCACGACAAAACTCCCACCTCCTTTGTATATGTCTTAAATTCTCATGTCTTTTGCCAAAAATGAATTAATATATTTATTTGAACCCACAATACGTGTGCATTCCAGAACTAACTAGCATTGGGAAGATGTTGTTGTCATGCAGGTCCTTTAAACCCACAACACATGCACATTCCAGAATTGGGTAACAATGGGAAGATGATGCTGTCATGTGCTTCCTCTCCCTTTGCATCAATTGACTTCATTGTATGTGTTCCACGCATTGTGTCATGTCTAAAACTAGATTGTAAGTTCCTTGGGACAGTGATCTGTCCTATTGATAAATAGTGATAATAGAGCAGCCAAAGTGAGCTAGTTCTTTTCTTCTGTTTACATTCAGGTGATGCCTCAATCCACTGATATTGCAAATTTTTAGTCAGTTGGCAGAGATTTTCATTTTCTAAAGTACATCTGATACATTATAATAATGTTCATTGCTCTCACAAATTAACCAAAAGTCTAAAAAACAATTATTAGAAAATAATAACTTGTTTCTGGCCAAATAGTGCTGGCTCCTAATGGCTGCTATTTTAACTTTCATTGTATTTTCAATGGCACAATTCACTTACTCTGTTTTACTCAGTATTTGATGCTCTATACTTATAATGATGCAATACTTTTGGGAACTAGGTTGGATTTAATGAATTTACTATGTATAAAGAGGCGTGGAACAAAAATCCTTAAGGGTCAGAGAACAAGTGAGTAGTCCATTAAAAAATCAATCATGCCTACAATTTTATAAAATTATTATACCCTGTCTTTCTAATTTTAATAGTATTGTGCTTACAACAGTATTTTTTTGCTTAAACTCTAGAAAGTGTGTGTTCATATTGATTAAAAGACAAATAAGCAAATTAATGTGCTTCAATTTGCCACTGGTTGAAATGGATAAAAACTGTAATTTATAAATACAATAGTAATAATAATTCTTTTGAAAAAGCAAACATCTCTTTAGCCAACTCTCATGTATATTTACCAGCAGCAGAACAAGGCAGCTTAGGAACTAAATTGTCCAACTGAGAATACAGGGGATTTTTCAATAAACTAGACTGTTTAGTAAATAAACTGGATCTGTTAGGGGCCCAGGACATCTGCCTCTTTTATAAATATTGCCATTGAATATTTACTGACCACAAGTTGCCAGGGTTCAAGTTTGACATGATATCCAGCAGCCCAGTGCTGCATGTCACTATTCTGGAGCACTGGTTTGCCCTGGGAAGGGGAGATAGTGTTGTCTATGAATCTCACTCGAGCAGTAACTAGCGGACCCAGCCTGCTTGGGTTGCAAGTTTTATCAAGCTTGCCACCCTGGGTGACATTGCCACTAAAGACTGGATGCAAAGGAGTTACCTTAGATTTACATGCATGGAACTGAAGTCAGAATTGGGTCTGTTGGGAGTACTGGGCTCTCGGCACATCATAACATGGGGCCAGTCTGTACCTGCACACCATACTATAGTCCTGACCTGAATTGGAAGTACTTGGAGTAACGGTATCAATGAAGTATCTCTTGTCCCACAGAGGAGAGGACAGCAGCATGGGGTGGGCCCTTTTTCTTACATCAAGGGTAGTAGATTTCCTTCTCTCCTAGAGGGCACTGAAAGATGTGACATTTGTCATGTGATCAGCCCCCTGAAAGTGCCTAAACCTATGCCATGATGTGCACAGATGGCTGCAGAGAACTTTAAAAATGGCTGCTTGCACAACAAATTAGCCCTCATCTGATGAGGGATCAGATGGAGGGACTCCAAAGTGGAGCTCCTTAGGGAACTTCTGTCAATCCATGTGTGAGATCAGGGCCGGCTGATGCAGCTCAGCCCTGCCCCTGGTGCTGTCTGCAGGAAGAGAGGGAAGAGAAGGGAGGAGGAAAGGGAGCTATGGGCTGGGGTTTGCCTAACCTGAGCTGGAGAAGGAGTGGATGAATTGGATTCCCCCCCACCCTCCATTCCTTCCAGCTCAGGCTGGACAAATCCCAGCCTGCAGCTCCTTCCTGATCCCTTCCTGCAAACAGACCTGGATTTGGGAGGCAGAGGCAAACTAAGGGAGGAAGACTGCTGGTAGGCTTCTCTGCTGGATCAACTCCAAAGTGGAGCTCAATTTCTCTTGCACCTCCCCAAAACATGTGAATGTCTCTTGGGTCAGGTCGGGGGTGTTGCTTTAACTCATGGCACTTTCTGTGAAGCACCATGAGTCGGAGAGGGGAGCTGCTCGTCTGCCAGTGCCCAGAGAGAGAGTTGCCTCCAAGTGTATCCTTTTGGATCAGCAAGCTGCATTCAGATAATTTCTTTTCTCCAGCTTCCTCTAGCACTTTGGAGGTATTCTCCCAAGACCTTTCTTAGATTTAATGTTCCAGAGAGATATGGCATCATTCATCCATCTCAGAGCCATTTCAAGTTGCAGACACTGCTACATTGGATATCCTTAGGTCACTTTTCAAACTTTTTTGTGCAACCAGGAGTAGTGTTCATCAGGCTGATGTATTGCAAGAGCCTAAAGGTTCACCAAGTCTG